TGCACCAGGATGTGCATATGCGAGGTTTTTTTTCTTTTTTTTTTTCTTGATACTGGATTGCAGGACTGTTGACATTTGTCGTCTTGAGCCAGCAGCCTAGCTCAATTGGTCAGGCACACAAGTGGCATTCAAGAGGTCGTGGGTTCAATCCCACTGACCACCTTGGCACGACACTTTTGGTCCCAACCTAACGAGATAGTTGGCTTGATCCCTTTGTTAGGTATTCGTAGGGTTCCTAACCATCTTAGGTGTGAATGCTGTGTGATGTGTGTGAGTTGTGTATGGTGTGTGGGAGAGTGCTGGCCATAGGCACTGGTATGACGCGATGGGGGTGGGGGAAGTTGATGGGAGCCGCAACTGCTGGAAAAATGCTCGGACTTTGCATTTGCTACGCTCGCACCGGCGGCCCCACCCTACTCCCCGACCATCGCCGATGAGGGCGAATATCGGGCTGGGGGGGTCTGTTAGGTACATGATGGGGTCAACTCATGCATGACTTAGACTCTAGGGTAGGATAGGGATATAAGTTGCTCCAGCTAGTATGAGTTCCACCTGACCTTGGGTAAGTTAGGGGAAGGGCGGTAGGATGTGTCAGTGGGCGCAACTTGGTATGCCTAGGTACTCCTGCTGGGTAGACTCTCTGATATTGGGCCTGCCGAAAAATATTGCATGAGCCTGGCATCCAGACTTCCTGTATGGCAAGGTTCGTCCGCTTCTGCTTCCACTAGGGCTGGGGGGCTGCGCAACCTTGGTGCTTGTCACTGCTGTCTGGTCCAAGTTGCCCTTGATATCGGTAGGGTGATGGTCCTTAGTGCTGGTCACACTAAGGTAACATCGTAAGGATAGGGGGCACATTAGGAGAATTAACATGGGTCAGGGTAGGGAAGGTGGTCTATCCTGTCAGTATAACCGCTTGCTGCCTCTGGCAAGGATTACCCGGGGTCTGGTCCTTGACCTCCATAACACCCTGGCTTTTATAGAAAAGAGAAAGAAAAAGCAAAGGGCAGGGGGCAAACATGCATCCCCTTATTGTGAGAGGTAACTATGCTTCCAGGGCCCATGTGTATAGGCTTAGGAGTAGTAGTTGATACGCAGTCAAAGGTGAAATTGGCAGAAGAATATAGCTTCACTTTTTGTCTTTTTGCCGAAGGCAGAAGGTAAGACCTTGGCCTTTTTGATAGGTCAGCAGAGAGGGTAGGAGGCACAACGACATCGTGGTTTCGTACGCCCACCACCACTCCGACTCATCGCCTAAAACCCGGATTCTTATGAGGCCTGCCGGCGGGTGGGTTTCGGCCCCTTCGAGGTTCCGGGTGAGGTGGGACAACCTTGCTCCCGGTAGTGTTGGTTCATATGCGGCCAGCTCCACCTGCAAGGTTGTGCAGTTGGCTACCATGTAGACCGCCATGGGGGGAGGGAGAGAGTCCTCGAGGACCACCTAGTCCCCTTTCACAAATTTGCGGGCCTCGACGCATGACCTGCACCCGTGCTATGGGGATAGCTTCTTCAAGTTGGATCTGTTGTAGTTTCTCGAGGATATTTCAGATGTGGTTCATCTGATTGCGTAGTTCCACTACTGTTTTCCACCTTCCTGCCTTGGTATCTCACAAGTCTTCCACTGAGAATATCCCCTTTTTGACCCATGACAACCAACGCGAGGTTTGCTTAATGGATAGTGGCTGCCCTCGAGGCTAGAGGGTCGAGAATATAAGGGTTTCCGAAGCATGGTTGCCGTGAGATCTCATGCCACCTCGAGGGTGGCCTAATTCTCGAGGGGCCTGCCTCCCTCCATAGGGCCACCATGGATTACCACAGGGGGTCATTTGCTAGCTAACCTTTGCACGATTGTTGGGGTCTCCTGTCCTTGGGGCATTGGGGATGGACCAAGCGGGGTTTATGATCCATGTCAGTGGGTGCACTTGCTTGTCGGTCGGTGTTGAGGGGGCCAGGCTTGATAGCTGGATGTGTGTAAGAGGGCCCCATGGGAGGTCGTCGGCCATCATCGGTCTGACTATGGTCTTAAACACTACGGCCTTAATTTCATCCTCTGGATCTATGATGGCTAGACCAACCCGGGTTTGAGGCTGGCCTATCTGTGCCCATGCCACTCGTTTTATGCACGCTCCAAGTTCCTGGTCATTCCTCCATAGGTATGCTGCGATGACTTGTTTGAGGTGGGTGAGATGCCTAAGTGCCAGGGGCAAGAATGCAGTTTTATACCATATCATGGTGGAGAGGACTGCATTATTGATTGCCAAGGCTCTGCCGACGAGGAATTTATGAAGGCCTTTCCATTTGGTCATCACTTGCATGACTGTCTGGACCAGATGGTCCCCGTGACCCTTCGGTGGACCCAGCGATGTGAGCGGCCTCCCAGTATGCGAATTGCCTTTTCTTTCTGCCGCGAGTTGTCTGCTGGCTCCTCTGGTGGAGGCTGGCCCATTGTTTTTTTTTATTTTTTTTAATTTTTATTTATTTATTTATTTATTTTATTTTTTATTTTTTATTTATTTTTTAAAGGAAAGACCCTTGCGATATCCCTCTATCCTGGCGGTGCTAAGAGAACCGTCAAAATTGAGGGCTTACCTGTCGGGCTGCTCCATCTATTGGTGGGGAGCGGCACCTGCTGGAAACCGGGTCCAGCGTCCCATTGATACATCGTTTTGTACAGACATTTGGTTTTTATTTTTTATCGGGGCTGTGATTATTGTTGACTTATCCTGGGGCTCCGTCCTCCCATGGAGCTGCAAGACTTACCCTTCCCTTTTTTGGGAGCACCCCTTATCTATTGATCCAACCCTTATTTGTGCAGCCCCCCTATTTGAGTGATTCTGTCTCTGTGTTTGTGGACCCTTTATGTTCTGTTCCCCCAGACTGTTTGTCTGAGCATTGCTTTTCC